TCCATGCTAAAAGTCCTAAGTAATTATTACTGAGCACACATTTTTCAAATGATGACTACATTGTGTGAATCCTCTGAAAATCCTGAATTGTTGTAGGATTAATTATATTTTCAAAGAATAATAGTGAATAGCATCTACACATAGTATTATTGTGAGTGTAAAATTCTTACTTCTCTATAAATCTGTAGAAACATTGTCTTTATAGTTATCTCATTACAGTTAATTTTTATAATTTGCTAAAATATGAGGATTTCTATTTATAAATAAAAAAATAAAAAATACCAACACTTCCAGATGCACAACACGCTTCACTAATTTGGAAACTAACTCCACAACTTCCCAAATTATCCAGAAAAAGGAATGAGTAATTTTTTTCTTTCCCTTTATCTCACTTTGGAAAAACCTGAAAGGTTAATACCTTGTGCTTACCGCTGTGACCACTAGATGGCGCCAACCGTTTTTGTTTTAATTGCCATAGGTCAGTGATTTTCAACCTGTGCAGCAAAAGGCACATGGGTGTGCCGCAAGAATTTTTAAAACATGCAATACCTGACTATTTAGTCAAGGGCACTAACCTCCATTCCCTAAAATCGTCAAACAAAAATGTGTCAACAGCCAACACAACAAAAGCCGTCTAGTGTGAATGAATCAAAATTGTACCAATATTTTTTTTTCTCAGATCAGCCAAAAATATATTTTTTGGTGTGCCACAGAATTTTAGTAATTAGTTTATGTGTGCCATGAGATGAAAAAGATTGAAAATCACTGCTATAGGTAAATATCTTCAGGGTGGAAAAATATAAATCTTTGAGAGTGCACACAATGCATTTTATTTATATTATTATTTTTTGTATCCTATATCAGTGCATTGCTTACAAAGATGAATCTGAAAATATTTGTTGTACTTAATATCTCTGTCCAAATATATCAGGTACATACAACTTCTCTCTAAAAAATTTTATTTACAAGTTTAATTGGTTGAGGTTAATTTTCAAAAGCCAATTGAAAAATGTTAAAATCTAATAAATATAACCAATTCCACTGAACCAGAATACATAGCAATTAATATTGGCAAGCTGGGATAGTTTGAATATGGCATGCTTAATAAAATATAAAAAACAAAGTAACTTCTCATAGTTTGTTTTGTATAGGGACTCCTGCTGACTGAATTTTGAATGAGTTGCTACTGCCATCAAGTGTTAGAATTTATTCAAGGCACACAAAAGCACAAAAACCAGCAAAAAGATTGCAGGGTGTTTCCAACTTAATAACATAATGCTCTGCATAACATAAAGCATAGCAAAACCATGCCACCATATGACACCTATCAGAATTCGAAATGCAACAATGGCATTAAAGCTGGCCAAATAAAGTTGTAACTAGTTAATATGAAGGACATATGTTGCTAAACTTACTTGATATTACATGGCAAACAAATTATTTCCAGCCTCTTGGTGTTCATCCCTTTGTTTAATCTTCTCTCCTTGAGTGCTGGTAGGACTTGGGCCTTGCTTTTTACCAATAGGGTATGGTAGAGGTGATGGATGTCACAAATGTCAAGCCCGTGGTTATGATACACACGTGTGTATTTATTGTGCTAGAAAACTCTAGGGAGATCCCCTTTGCTGGCTTGATAGTGTAAGCAGCCTTATTGAGGAAGCTGGTCGCAAGGATCAGTGGGCAGCCTCTAGGAGCTACCGTTGTTCCCTAGGACCTATGGGTGGCCTCTAAACCTGAAGGCATCCTCCAGCCAACAGACAGCTAAAAGGCAGGACCCTCAGTTATTCAGCCACAAGGAAACAGATTCTGCCAATAACATAATCTTGGGAACAGATATTCCCAAGTTGAGCCCCAGGATGAGAACCCAAACTGCCAGATGCCTTGATCACAGCCTGGTGGGACCTTAAGCAAAGGACATAACTAAGCTGCTCCTGGACTCATGACACTTGGAAAGTCCAAAATAACAAATGTAGGTTGTTTTAAGTAATTAAGATTGTGTGAACTTTTAATGAAGCAATAGAAAACTAATACAATATATAAAAACATCGTAAATGTGTTGCATTTTAATGTAGAATCAGGCCATTTTATTTTGCAGTGTTTAAAGAATACGTGTTCAATTAAAATGTCTTTAAAATTCCTTAATTGTATTTCTGAAGGGTGTGTCTGACATGTTCTGGTGCTAATTGTCTTGGGTAATTAACCAGTACATGAACAATTTGTATTATAACACCAATATGTTCAAAAACTGAAAATCATACATTGTAACTTGCTGCGTCTCTTACAAAGAGGAAGCGTGGGGTGAGACAATACCACATGAATGTTTTTAATAGAAGAATGAAAATTAAAATATATACATCACCATATAAACAGTGTATAAAGCCATGTTATTTACATCAACTGATCAAAAAATTATGTCCTTAATAATCTGTCAGTTAGTCATCTATTTTAAAGCAAAGAAGAAACTGATAGGAATTCCACTATAGCCACATGGTCAATTTCTAAAGCTCTCAGTTAAAACCCAATATTGTATATGTCACATGTCCTTAGAAAAATAAATCTGGGACTTCACCAGTCCCTTTTGAGTTAAGCAGAGCCTGCGGAGAGTAACTGCCAAATGTGTGAGTCTACATCCAGAGAGGGACACTGGAGGCTAAAAGTGTTAGTACTCTGCACTTCGAGTCAAGGCGGCTTGTCTTCGGCAAACCACAGAGCCAATGAAATTGAATGAAGCCAGTGGCATCGACAGGTCCCCCGGCAATGGCTGGAGCCCTGGTCCGGGAACTCCCCCATACTGTTCTCCATTTTCACCCAGGAATGCGTAAGTGGCCTTTGCAAGCTTCCGGGCTTCTGCACATTTTACTCCTTTGTCATTTAATGGAGGCATGTAGACTCAGGTTCCCAGCGGGAAGTGTTCCATTTTGCACAGTTTCACTCACCACAGGGAGGTAATAAGGGAGATATACTCTGGGATTACGCCTGGTAGCAGTTGTTATTTCTAAAAAGTGGGACAAGCAAAGGACACAAGGGTGGGGATGCCTATTTTTGCATCATGCACAGGGCTAGTTATCTTTACATATACGATATCAACTTCTTTAAAGTCCTAAAGTATTTAAATATGATAATGATGAGATTTCAGTTACTGAGTGCTTACTGAGCACCTGCACCAAGTGCTTTAATGCAGGATCTTATGTCACCCTCACCACAGTCCCGTGGAGTAGCACTGTAGGTATTCATGGCGTGGCTATGGAACTGGAAGCTTACAGAGGTTAATAATCGAAGTCAAAGCACTTCTATTTTTTTTTTTTTAATAGCCCTTATTTTTTGGAGCAGTTTTAGGTTCATAGGTACAGAGATTTCCTGTATGCTCCCTCCCCGCTCACTCACACCGCCCGCGTTACAAACATCCCCGGAGAGGCACAGCTCTACCATCCATGACCTAGGCTGGCACATGGCTGTGGCCCAGCGCCCACAGTTTCCCTGAGGGTTCACCCTCCGTGTTACACATTCTATGGCGTTGGATAAGCGTATAATGACATGTATCCACAAAATGTATNGTTTCCCTGAGGGTTCACCCTCCGTGTTACATATTCTATGGCGTTGGATAAGCGTATAATGACATGTATCCACAAAATGTATCATTCAGAGTAGCTCTTACGTCTACTTAAATGAAAGCCCACGTTCTTAACCATAACACCGCAAAGGGCCCCCACTGTGCGCGCTGCCTGGCCAGTAAGGGCCCCAAAGGAAAGACGTGCTGGGATCCGTGTCTTCAGGGACTCACGGGCTACGCGCAGGGACCTCTGGCCCCTGGAACCGTGAGCGCGGCGCTCCGCACACCGGGCCGCCTGCCCAGCGCGAGCCCCCGCTTGCGGTGCGTGTGCACCGTGCAGAGGTCGAGTTTAGGCTCTGGGCTTAAACACGCGAGTCTTAAATACTAGCCCTCAGGTTCACTAGCCCACGACCTTGGGGACATTAAAGTCTCAGGCCCCAAACCTGGGGCCGAGGCGCGGTCACAATGCCCCGCGCACCGGGTCCGCGGGAGGACTGCGCGCCAGGGGCGGCCGCGCGCAACAGCCACGCAACAAACGCTCGCGGTCACGCACCAGGCTCCCCGCTCTGAGCCGAGCGGGCCTGACCGCAGCGTCGGGACCGGGGCCCAGCGCTCCGACCCCAAGAGCTTTCTCTTTACCCCCTTGGCCCCCCGAAGAGGGAGGATACACGTTTATTATACACAGGTGTCCCTCGCGCGCCCCACGCGCAGCCGAAGGGCCGTCTTCTACGCTCCCACGCCCGGAGGTGGCACAAAGGGTCCGAATAAACGGCCCCTGTCGGGCCCCCGGGAGGGCAGCGGACACCCAGCCACCGACCCACCGCCTCCCCCAAAATTGCGTCACAAGCCCCCTGCGAACGTTCACGGGGCGCCTGGTTCTGCGCAGAACGCGGCCTCCTCGCTCAGCGGAACGACCTCGACTCCAATTGGCTGTCGCCCGGGGCAACCAAGGACGCGGTGGCACGTGGGGGGCTCCCGCGGGTATTTAAAGGCTGTCGTTGCCCGCGCCACCTCAGTCCGGCCAGGACGCCGGCGGAGAAGCACCTGGGTTGAGAGGGAGAAACCAGGTAACGCTCAACCCCCGCCTGCCCCGGTCGCCAGCTCGAACCTCTTCGGAGGCGGGGTGTGTGTGGGACCCGGGAGTGACTGCCCCTTCGTGTTGCCCGTCAACACCTTTCTCCCCACCCTCTTTACCCAGCGCCAGTCCCACCCAACCCACCTGGGCGAGACCCCCGGGTGCGAAGGACAAGAGAGTGCCACAGAAGAGCGAGTGAGCTAGCGAGCGGAGAAGAGGGGTCCCCCTGGCGAGGACAGGCGGGATCGCAGCTGCAGGCACGTGGTGCTGTGCGGAGACACGGGGTGACGAGGCTCCTCAGAACGTCAGATCTGGCCAAGTTTGAGGACAGCTTTCAGGACGCTTCCGCTTAGACCTCTGGAAGCTCCCGGAACCATGACCCAGACCCTCAATAAAAGGGAAGAGCCTCTAAACCCGGGCGGCGGCTGGGCATCCCCCGCTCCGTTTCGCACTTGGTCCTCCTGCCACCGCGGGCGCAGGGGCGCCCCGGTGTACAAGCGGCGGCAACACCACGGCCCCGGAGCCGAGTACGAGCCGCAGCGGAAACAGCCGAAGCCGCCACGGTACGGCCCGGGCCCCTGGTTCCAGCCACCCCGAAGTCCTTACTGGGCCATGTACTCTAACTGGGGGTGCTGGGGAGGGCCCTGGTGCCCACCTCCCATGGGGTACCGGAAGCCCCCCGGGCCGGTGCAGGTGACCCGCATGTACGGCCTGCACCCCGTCTGCCTGTGCTGCTGCTTCTGCTGGCGCGGGCCCTGCAGCCCCGGCTGGGCGAGGCCCCCCGGCCGGAAGAAGCGCT